TTGTCGGCATTGGCCAGTTCTTGACTGCTTCGGTCTTCTGAGGGTCCACTTTTATGCCTTCACTAGATACCACGTGGCCTAAGAATGCCACTGACTACAACCAGAACTCGCATTTTGAAAACTTGGCATAAAACTCATTCTCCTTCAAGGTATGCAATGCTATCTTGAGGTATTCTGCATGATCTTCCTTGCTCTTAGAGTATACTAAAATATCGTCTATAAACACGATAATAAAGGTATCAAGGAATGGCTTGAAAACTCTGTTCATGAGGTCCATGAATGCAGCTGGAGCATTTGTCAACCCGAAGGACATCACTAGAAATTCATAGTGCCCGTAGCGAGTTCTAAAGGCTGTTTTAGATATATCCTCTTCTCTGATTCTCAACTGGTGGTACCCCGACCTCAAGTCTATCTTTGAAAAGTACTTTGCATCCTGAAGTTGATCAAATAAATCATCAATTCTTGGCAGTAGGTACTTGTTCTTAATTGTAACTTTATTCAACTGCCGATAGTCGAGCACATTCTAAGAGACCCATCCTTCTTCTTGACAAACAGGACCAGAGCACCCTACGGTGAAACACTCGGCCTGATGAAGCCCTTGTCAAGAAGGTCTTTCAACTATTCTATCAACTCATTAAGTTCTGCTGGAGCCATCCTATAAGGAGGTATAGATATGGGCTAAGTGCCTGGCATGAGATCGATGCCAAAGTCTATGATTCTTTCAGGAGGAAGTCCGGGAAGGTCATCTGGGAAAACTTCTGAAAATTCTCTAACAATTGGCACAGACTAAAGAGCTGGTGGTTCTGATTCTGGATTAATGATGTGAGCCAAATAGGTGAGAACCGATCATTCGTTGTGCCTTAAGGTAATAAATAAACTTACCTACCAGCGATGCTAAACAACGCTACCACTCTAAGACTTCGTCATTTGAAAATTGGAACCTGATTATCTTGGCACGACAATCTAACATGGCATAACAGGAAGACAACCAATCCATACCCATAATCACATCGAAATCCACCATTTCTAACTCTATGAGATCGGCCTCGGTGCTGCGACCTTGGACTAAAACTGTACAACCTCTTGTGACTTTCATTGACTCGCCAACTAGAGTAGATACTAGGAATGACTCACTAAGTTGTTCCGGTTCTAGCCCGAGGTTAATTGCAAAGTATGAAGTCACATATAAAAATATTGAACCTGGATCTATTATGGCATAAGCATTACATGAGCAGACTAGAAGTATACCTGTAATAACTTCTGCAGATGCCTCTGCACTCAGACGATCAAGTGTAGCAAACAAAAGGGGTTGTCCCCCTCCCTGAGCAACTCGATCTGCACCTCTGCCTGCCCCATGCCCGGTCTGATTATGAGAAACCACGAGCCTGAGGTGGTGCAATTATAGTAGCTGAGGAACTATAAGGACGAGTTGATCCACCACTAAAATTATGTTGTAACTTTTGGTAGTTGGCCTTTATATGGCCAATTTCTCCGCAATGATAGCAACCATGAAACCCAAGCTTGCATTGACCTGAATGTTTCCGCTTACATGTTCCACAAAGACCTTGTTGTTGTGAATATTGCTCAACATGACTCTGGCTATGTGAGGATGATGTCCTAAAATTCTGATTCTGGCGAGACTAGTTTCCTTAGCTCTGAGTACGTCTGAAGGAAGACCCACTACCTGACTGATGACTGGACTGAGCTGGTGCTAATGACTCCTTATTGGAGGAACCCATTCCACCTCCGTTGGATGTACCATTAAACCTTCCTGTTGTCCAGGCTTTCTTGTTATGCTATTTTTCTTCTCACCTTTATTGTCTGTCTTTTTCTAAGTGCTTGGCGAATCCCACAACAAAAGAGAAAGCTGTCATTCCTACTGTTGCAGCTAATGTCGTATCCTTCATGTGGTATGCCAAACTGCCAACAAACCTGCGAATCTTTGCTTTTTTTGTCTTAACCATGTGAGGAGCATGCTTAGCCAACCTTATGAATTTCATGTAGTACTCTTGCATACTTTTATTCCCTTGCCTGAGCTGTTCGTACTCTGTAGCCTTAACTTTCCTATCCTCTTCCGGGATAAAGTTAGCCATGAAGGCCTCTTCAAATTCTTCCCAAGTAGGCGGACCATCATCTTCATCTCTTTCCTTTTCCCACATCTCAAACCAAGTGCCAGCCACATCTCTAAGCTGGTAAGCAACAAGCTCCACAGCTTCATCATCAAATGCCTTCATCCCTCGGAGGGCTTTCTTGACACCCTCCAGCCACAACATTGGATCTTCATTAGCTATAGAACCATGGAACAATGGAGGACTCAACTTCAAAAATTCATTCACTCTTGAGGACTCAGAATTGTTCTGTCTATTTAATTGAGGTGGAATTTCATCTCTTCTCTCGTTCTGGTTGGCCATGAAGGATTTAAACATCTCCATAACACTATTGATAGCATTAACCATCTGACCCACCTCTGGAGATATAGCTGTATTAGCCGGAGCAGCTGTTGGGGGCGACACTGGATCATGAGGTACTGGATCATCATACTCCACCTCTTCTTCATGTTCAACCCGGGGTACTTGAAACCCTTTTGTGGATTTACTCTTCCTTTTCTGAGTTGAAGCCTTCTTAGTTCTACTTGAGCCACAATAGTAGCAATAGTTTCTTGAGCAGCATCCTGAGTGTCGGTGTCAGAGTTGCGAGTACGAGCCATTTCTGCGAGATTTGGATAAACGAATACATTAGATAATTTCTTAGAGGTAGGCTCTATTGCACTATATAATGTATGAAAAAAATGAAACTTTTCCTAAAGTATGGCACGCTAATTATAAACAAGACTCTACTAACACGGCTTCATAGACCTCTAGGACTCCATAAACCCGAGGCTCTGATACCAAGTTTGTCACGATCCACTTTCTGAATAAGCCGGGACTGACAGTCAATCACTAAACATGACCGAGCGAACCATCTACGCTTATCAAATCTATTATAACTTCAAACTCTGTATGTCACAAGGCACTACTGTAACCTAATACTTTTAATTAATTTAAATATCTAAAATATACCAACTTCAAAACTTTATTTGTAGTAACTACTGAAATATTGCAAAGGTATTATTAAAAACACCTGAATCTTTAACTCACCGACTGTGTCTATGATGCATCTAATGATAAACTGACGCACTGCTCAGAACATGAGATTTCCTGGTCAGTTCTCTAAGTAAACAAAAAAATAGCTAAATAATGACGACTCAAAGGAGTACTCCACGAACAAAACCAGAGCTCACCAATAACACTATAAGTGAGGGAAGTCCTAACCCGTAGCCTGCTCACCTGCAAAACTGGTTCCTACGTTGTACCACAGACCAACGTAGGTTCCCAAAAGAGAACGTCAGTATCATCCATTGTACTCAGTGAGTCTCAACGAGAAGGGAGTAAATATTAATAAAATACATTACGAATAAAGATTCTAAATGCATGGAAAACATAAAATTTCTAAGAAGAATTCTAAAATAATTGCATAATAACAGTTTATGAATATTCTAAAAGAAATTATTTTCTTTTTCTTTATAAAAAAAATACTTCTCTTCGTACTTTGGGAGTTCCAACTATCTTGACTTATTTCTATCTTAGTGTCCGTGTGATCGGCACAGGTTCGATCCCAACCTGATCGAATAGGCCCAATCCACGAGGTGTCACTCGCTTCATGGTTATCAATGCTCATGTACCATACCTTAGCTTGGCTAGGCAAATTCTCAGTAACGAGACCCTCGGCTCGTGTGCTCCCTACTTTGGCACAAGTAGTTTCAGGAAGTCAACGTCTTGATCAGGACCCTCGGCCTGGACGATGACCCCTTCTCAGAATAGAGGATACTCCAAAAAAAATACTTTAATAATAAATTATTCTGTGTGACCTCGCTAGGATCTAAATCAACTTTCTTGACCATTCAAGTCTAAATCATTTCTAGAACATCCTATACATACTCATACTGGTACCCTTAAATGTAAAACATGACATAAGAATGAAATAAACATTTAAAAGAATTTCTAAAGATTCTTGCTTCTTCATAAATTTTCAATATGAAAATGGCATATAAGAATAACACAACAATCTGAAAATTTATGCACATAAATCACAATAAATCATCTAAACGTTTGCTAGAACAATTCTAAGTTAATAGGTACTCACTCGCTCCAATTAAGTACATATAAACTCCTTTAAGTAATTCATCAAATACCTTGTATGCGTGCTTTTGTGAGTTAAATCACTTTAGTAAAGGATTATATCAACTCACCTCAAAACTCCTTGAGCCAATACATAAGCCCTAGTCCAATTTATACCCGTCAAACAATTGATTCTACAACAACCAGTGCATTTGAATTAATTTCAATGTTTCACAACTAAACATGGAACTTGTTGCTGATATAGAGGAAGAAGGGAATTAACTATTCAATTCTTACCTATTACTACTGTAGGATAATTAGCAATAGAAAATTTTATTTACCTGAATTCAAGAATTAATAATTTGTAAAAAAAAAAACCTAGATTCTTTTCGTGGCCTCAGTGTGTAAGCAGCAATGCCTCTGTTTCGTAGGCTTGTGTTCAAGAATTGTACGTTTCATTGCATTCCAGGCTTTAAGCCTTCTTTTTTTTCTTTGTTTTATTATTTTTCTCTTTTTGTTTTGTTTTGCCTTAACTAATAATTAATGAAACCCACTTTTAAATATTACTGATATTAAAATTATTAATATTCCCCTAATTGTATATTCAATTCTTTATAAATAGAGAAGTAACTCAAAAATCAATCACAAGGGTTTAAACCCGTAATAGAAGTATAATTTAAAATTAAAAAAAAAATTAAATTTTATATTTAGCGAGTTTTGAAACTTCTACAGATTTAAGGAGTGTTACATGGACAATACTATCCAGGATAACAACCTGATCAAGAAAAGCACTAGCCAGTGTTGTCATGACATCTATAAGCGAACAATAAACATTTAAGGATCTAAGCCAACAAGAACCAATTATATCACAGAAAACAGCAATTAGTAAGCATCCTTGTCATTGGTAAAATCCCAACATATCCAAACAGCTGAGTATCTCAATGGCAACTCATTGTCGGATAACAAATTTGCTAATAAATAACAATGAACAATGGTGGCATATCTTCAACAGCAATCAAGGCATCTTTTGTCAGTAAAACGGGGTATACAGGTATAAAAGAGAAAATGCTATCCTAACAAAATGGAATTCTCTGGCAGGGCCAATGGATAGAAAGAATGGTGAGCTAACGACGCGAATCAAATCCCAATGCTTCAACAGCATAAGTCTCCTACTCATGATTTCCCCCACCATTATAGCTTAAGTACAAAAAGAAGCAAGAGGATAACTGGTCCTCTGCCCCCTATGTGTGATTGCCAACCGGTCTCCAACATAATTACAGATTAAGGTGAACTGCACAAGGAGAACTTCGTTCCATTGCACATGCAGCTAAAATGGTCTTCTTAGAGTGCTGGGCAATGTCCTTGAAGGTACTGTAGACTGTATCAAAGCATGTAATTCATTCAGAATCTAATACATCACAGCCATAACTTCACGGGAAAAAAGAAAAGAAATAATACTAGGAAAGTGTAAAAGAGAATATGAACTTCTTGCTTAAAATTATCAAAGTCATAAACATTCACGGACTATTTGATACTCAGTTAGCTAGCCAAAAATATTGACATGACGTATTGGTCCGCGAAAATTGGATTCAAATTCATTAACAAGTAAAGCAAATTCATGTACCAAAAAAACAAGTAAAGCAAATTCAGTGATTCCAAAGGGGCCCCTTGGACCTTAGCCTCTTAAGGGTTGGGTTCTAGTGACGGGCTCTTGGGTCGCCGGACCCAAAGCTGGTAAAAGTGGTGGCGGGAAGTGGAAGCAGTCAAGCTAAAATGCACATTTTACAAAGCAGTGGAAACCTTTCTAGACTCTGATCAGCTCCTGAACACATAAATAAACGTTTAAAAGGCATGAGTCATGTTTCACTGGCATAGAAAGATTGGAGTGTGAACGACCACAAGACTTGATTTATGCTTATCTACATCGCTGTACAGTTTAATCTAAAAATTCCACTATACCTGAAGTCTCTGGACTAGCTTTTAGTAAATTCTAACCGTTGATTATACAACAACAACAAACTCGGTGTAGTCCCACAAAGTAGGGTCTGGGGGGTTAAAGTGTATGCAGACCTTACCCCTACCTTGTGAAGGTAGAGAGGTTGTTTCCAATAGACCAAATTGAAGTTAGTGTAATCAACAATAACCGTTTATTATACGTGTTCCTTTTTTAATTAAAGGAGCTCACCTCTCTAAATGGACAAGGAGATGGGCTAGTATCAGGCCCCACATAAGATCTGCTACTGCAGGGATGGAGTTGCTGATGAACCAAACCCAAGCTGATACTTGCATCAGTACCTTGTAATTCACTTTCTAAAAAATCACCCAAAAAACTATGCGATGATGTAGAGGCTCCATTCAGATTCAGTTGCCCACTCAAATTACTTGACCTTTCAGGTAAAATATTCCGATTATGAGATAAACGAGCATTATACTCCAGTTGCCTTCCCTGGAAAAATGTATTATGAGGAACTGCCCTTTGTGCTACAGCAGGTTGAGTTACTAATTCCCTGCTTCGAGCAATTTGGGAGCCAAAGAGACTATTCCCCGATACAGCAACTAAGGTCCCATTAACATTACCAAGTTGTCTCCTCCTGTTATTAAGCAGTTGATTTATTTGCCTCTGTATTCTACGTCGGTCAAAAACCGTCGATGCCCCAACCCCAGCAACTTGACCATCTCGGGGAGAGTGAAAATCACCAGATTCTTCAGCCAATGGGGTATCAGGTACGTACATTTCATTAAGGTCAAACGTCTCCCTCACATTGGCTACAGGGGGTGACCCAAGAGAAAAATTGCTGCTTGTTCTATTAATATCAGGTGTAGGATTCAGATTCTGTTGGTTTGAAGAAGCAAGTGCAGTTGGTCGACAGCTTTCACAGTACCAGTTACCTTCAGGTACTTCATGTCCAAGACCGACACAATAAGTATGTGCAGGTGAATCACAGAGATCACATAGTAGCATAAGAGCATCATCCCCACCTTGCTGACACTCGGTACATAATACATTTTCGTATGGATCAATGTAACCCCTAAGCTCCTCTTCAGATGGTTGATAGACCTATAAACACAATTTTAAACATTTAACTGCAATTAGAAATTCTGGTATTTTTGTGTTTAAACCTAACATCTTATTATCATAATCATCAAACCTAACATCTTAACTAAACGAATATTATAAGTTTACCAAAGGAAAAAAGGACTGTACCTGATCACGCTCAGGGACCTGAATAGCCACGGTCCTCAATTCAAAGCCAGTGTCTGACCTTGCAGGCTTACTAATCGTTACAAACCTTTGCTTGCACAGTGGACAACGGGATTCCACTTTGGACCACTCCATGATGCAAGCAAAACAAAAGTAATGACTGCAGCAATTCAATGTCCCTCTAACTGTCCTCTTACCTTCTTCAGACAAACATATTCCACAAATCTGCTTTCCTGCTTCAGTCTTCAAATCCACCTTCTCTTTATCCTTTCTTCCCGGATGTTTTTTTTGTAGACGCGGAGCTTCCTCTTTTGGTAAATTTTTCAAAGAAGCTGAGCCCCTCCAAGCTGTAACAAGGCCCCTGCAAAATCGGCTAGCCTCTCTGACTTGTTCCCTCTCTTCTTCAGAGATGGTAAACTCACGGTCAGATGATCCAGAACTCTCAACAAAATCTGAATCCGAATCTACTCTTAGTCTCTTTCTTTTTCTCCTCTGACCTGCATTCTTTTTATTCGTTTCTTCCACAATTGGATCGATGTCTATGAGCTCCTCGTCATTATCAGATCTTGCTTTCCTTTTCAATCGGCGTCTGTTCTGCGGTTTCTTTCTTGTGATGCTTTTCAACTTTTTATGATTTTTATTTCTCTTCTGTTCTCTGGCAGTGCTATTACGCAACCTTGGCTTGCTTGAATACTTCATCCCTTTCAATACTGGAAACTCTTCTTCATCTTCTTCTTCGTCCAAGCCATCTGGAGTGAATTCCTCATCATCCTCATCCTCTTCATCATCATCTTTGGCAGTGCCCTTACGCAACCGTGACTTGCTCAAATTCTTCATCCCGTTCATTACTGGGAAATCCTCATCTGCATCCAAGCCATCTGGAGTGAATTCCTCATCATCCTCATCCTCATCCTCTTCATCATCACCTTTGGCAGTGCCCTTACGCGACCGTGACTTGCTTGAGTTCTTCATCCCGTTCATTACTGGAAAATCCTCATCAGCACCAAAGTCATCTGGAGTGAATTCCTCATCATCCTCATCTTCTTCTTCATGATCCTTGTCATCATCTTTGGCAGTGCCCTTACGCAACCGTGGCTTGCTTGAATTCTTCATCCCTTTGGCTGCTGGAAACTCCTCTTCTTCATCCAAGCCATCTGGATTGAATTCCTCATCATCATCTTCTTCATAGTCATCATCATCATCATCTTTGACAGTACCCTTAGGCAAACGTAGCTTGCTAGAATTATTTTTCCCTTTCGCTACTGAACGGTCCTCCTCTCCATCCAAGCAATCTGGTGTGAATTCCTCATCATCTCCATCATCATCCTCATCGTCATCTTCTCTATATGAAACTCTCTTTCTCTTTCTAGGCCTTACAGTGCCTTTTCTGTTTCTCCTTGGTGCTCTTGATCGAACAACCTTTTTAACCTTCTTCATCTTCAATTCCTCAACCTCCTCATCTTCAAATTCACCTAAGCTCTCATCTGACTCATCTCCGATAAAAGAAGAATATCCATCTGACTCACCAAACTCCTCTTCCTCATCAACTGCGTAATCCTCGTCTGACTCATCTGAAGCTCTATACATGGATCCAGCTTTTTTCCTACCACTAGTCTTGCGACCAACCTTGCCTCCCCTCGCCATCCTTTTATCACACCCAGAGAAGTACAAACCCAAAACTTGAATCAGATCAAACTATATGATAATCTCATGTACCACTAGAGCCACAATTTAGTTAGGGAACAAAATGAATCCGGCTGAAACACAAACAACCCATCATTTCTTATGTAAGGTAAGGCCTCTATTACAAGCTCATGTTGAATCCTTACTACTTTAAGGTCTCCCAACAGATGCCCAAATAAAGATTCCAAATCTGTCCATTTGCAGTTACAAAATTAGTATCAGAATTCTCAAAATCTTAACATTCTAATATAAGCTTATCCAAGTAAGGCATCAAATCAACCAAAAATTAAACAATTGAACACCTTAAAAAACTCAATTTTACTCAGAAATAGACCAGAAATAGGAAGAATTGATCTAACTAAATACAGAAATGAAACCCCCAAAATCAAAACCTGAACCCTAGATCAAGCTATTAGCACTAAGCCCCAATAATTCAACTAACTAAATAAATATAATTCCCAGCAAAAACATAATTAACACCAAATATGGATGAATTAATAAGTATTAAAATCCAATCCCAATAATACCAATTTCCAAAATTCAGATGGAACAGTAAAAAAAACCTCAGCAACCAAACAGCTTACCAAATAAGCGAAACATATTGAGATTGATTAAATTATTCAGAAAAAAAAAAGGAAATAAGATAGGCTATGTCAAGTACCTGAGAAAGGAAAAGGAGGCAAAATCGGCAAAACCCAGAAAAAAAGATTTATATTTGGGGGTATTTTATCTGTATATATAAAAGCAATTTCAATTTTTTTTTTTTTTTAAAAAGAAAAAATCAAGTGGTGAGATTTAAAGTTGAAGAAATGAGAAGAGGGTCACCAAAGAATCTGTATTTACTTTTTTCTTCTTTTTGTTTTTCTTTAAATGGATGTGCTTTTTAAAACAGTGAAATTATTGCAATTTATAAATGGAAGCATCTATTATTAGGAGGTTTCGAGGGGTGGTTGCCCCTGGGTACTTTTATAAGACGCAACTTGGCTGTGATGCTATGTTTGAAATTCCATATTTGCCCTTTGTGGTGTAAAAGAGCAGCTCAACTGCAATTTTGACCTTGGGCTCACCAAGTTGGATTTCGGGTTTGGGCTTTTACTTGGACCCTACGAGGCTTTGTGATGTCTTATTAGGATTGGGCTTACAGGGTGTTATGCAGCCCAGTAAGCTAAAAGAAGGAACAATGTGATAACTTGAGAAGAAGATCGCTGTGAAAAAACTTAAAAAGAGTTTCAACCTTTGCCGAAAAGCTATACTGCATAAATAGGTAATAATACATTTTTTATTGTACGTGTATAAAATTTTGAATCCATTTAACATAAGAGAACTACATATTCAAATCTCACGTGTGACAATTTTTGAATGTTTTAATCCCCTTATGCCATTAGTTGCAGGGATAATCTATGATTGCTTGAACATGTTGAAAGGGCTGGAGTATGCATGTAACATTAGAATGGTTGAAATGTAATTCATTAATTGATAACATCAGAAGGTTTTTTTTTTTTTTTCTATACCAGGGAAGAAAAGTTTTAAAAAAAGAAATAGTTATCTCAGGAATGTACAAAAGAAATATGGACAAATAAGGAGAATTTTCTATTTAATTTTAATTGAGGTGGAAGTACTTATTGGACTTTTCAATAAATACGAAAAGAAAATTGATAAATTATCCCTAGAAACAGCTTCAACTCCTCTTTTTGGTCAACCTAAGGATGACAATCTAGTCTTTCTTCTCTATAAATAAAAAAAACAATAACAACATACTCAATATTATTATCTATAAAAAGAGAAAATGTAATGTAATTTTTGTCAAAATAGCACGGGCTAGCCAATTTTCGGATTGATCATTCAAAAATAGCCACCGTGTGCCAAGTTATTGAAAAACAGCCACCATGTTGCTTCAACAAAGACCTGTCCAGTATAAATTCCGGTATATTATGCAGGAGTATTTTCCGAATTTTCAACAGTATTTTCGTTCACATTTATCTTTACATAAAAAGCAGCTAAATTTCGATGACTTTTACAATTGTGACTATTTTTGAATGGTCATTTGTAAATCTGACTATTTTTGAATTTCTCTCAGGACAATTGATTGAAACTAGTAGAGAGGTTGCCTATTTCTAACAAGATAAATGGGCTGTAAATGAAGCCCAATTAAAGTGGTAGGAGGTGAAGTCACGAGAATTGTGTGTCCACTTCCAGAGTTCCACTTTGGATAGGAGGACGATGAAATGAGGAGCGGGCAGGTGCTATACGTGTATTTTTCTCCATTTTATGAGTTTTAAGATTTAGAGACCATTTCAACCGTCAATAACTGATTTTTAAATTTGATATGTACACAATTAATAAATTTTTAATATAAATATATTATTTGAGCAAAAATTACTGAATTCTGATGAATCCATATGTACTTTTATCTCCGTTCCTAATATCAGTTGTTATCTTATCATTGTATAACACATATTTTAGGAGATAAGGTGTAACTTACCCTTTTAAATATACAGAAAATGAAACGAATTATTTTTGTTCTAGAAAGTAAATAATATAAAATTAATGGTGGGAACTTATGTTAATCAAATATTGGTTGCTAACATCAAAATTTGGCTCGATTAATTCAAGGAATCTTTACACAAATAGTCGGTCGCATTTATTATTTATTTTTTCTAACTGACATACATAGATATACACTATATTTATATATTTATATATATATATATATTATATAAATTATACTTATATTATATATCCACCAACTATTTTTAATTTCAATATTTGAATGAATGGTTATTTGGGTAAATTCTTCTTACTGCAGCACATTTGGGCCATAGAGGCCTGCCTCAACCGTACGGCTGAAGAATGGTGATTTTGTACAAATATGATCATTTGGTGTCATCGTTTAAATATTGACCCGGTTAAGAAAAGTTTTAGGAAAATAGTCATCCATCAGAATTTTGAGAAACGATCCTGGAAATCACTAGTTTTTCATATGGTGATCTCTGAGATTTACCACAAAACCTGGCAATTGTTAGAATTTTTCATATGATGATCACCAGACGTTCCACAAAACCTAACGAATCGCTAGAATTTTTCAGCATTGTGGTTGAATATCCCGACAATCGCCATAACTATCTGTTAAGAAAAATTCTAGCTAGCCAAGAGAACTTCCCAATATTCTGACCCAAAGCTATTTTCTCAAGATTTTTTTTAACGGGGTCAAAATTTAAAAGGTGGCCGTCCAGCATAATTTCTTGCCAAAGAATTGACAATTGGGCCTTCTAGATAATAGGACGAGGCCCAAAAGGTTTAATCACAACGTGATTTTAAGAGGAGAAATTCAAAAATAGCCCGATTTATAACTGGTCGTTCAAAAATAGCCAAGTTTCAAAAGTAATCGAAATTTAGTCACTTTTCATGCAAAGATAAATCTGAGCGAAAACACTGTTCAAAACCCGGAAAATACGCCAGTATATTATGCTGGAGTTACAGCATAAGTATACTTGAACTCCAACATATTATACTGGAGTTCCAGGATAAGTATGCTGGAACTCCAGCATAATATGATGGAGTTCCAGCATAAGTACACTAGAACTCCAACATAATATACTGGAGTTCCAGCAAGTATACCGGTCCAGCATAATATACTGGAGTTTGGAGCACCAGTGCTCCAGTCACCGATTTATACTAGAGCCAGCAAAGTATACCGGTCCAGCATAATATGCTGGAGTTAATACACAGGTGCACCAAACTCCAGTATATTATGCTGGACCGGTCTCTGTTGCAGCAAATAGTGGCTATTTTTCATTAACTTGATAAACGCTGGCTATTTTTGAATGACCAGTCTGAAAACTAGCTATACCGTGCTATTTTTACGATTTTCGCATGCATCCACTTGTAGGATCCATCCAGGTTTGATATTACTCCAGTTACGAGTACCATATGTTTTCACTCTTCTACCTTTATGCCAGATCAAGCACTAAATAATTAATTTCTCAAAGTAATATGTTTCTGCAAAAAACAAAAAAAAAATCATTTAATGGCATACCAAACACGCCAGATAGGCTAAAAACTCTATATCGTGTCCTTTTTCTTGTTCCACATCAGTAACTGAGTTTTCAACAAGAGGCCAAAATAATTTGAGGCCAAGTCCAATCTCAAGCAAAAACCAAGTGATTCTTCTCTATCTATGAAGCATTATATTAACTAAGCAACTACTCTAAAGGAAACTTTAAGTCCGCACATTAAATAGATTAGTAAACTAATATCACAAGATCATGTTAGTGCATGTTTCGATTTCTAAATTTGGATTCTAACTTTTCTCCAATTTACAAGAGCCGTTCTTTTTCCCGCCACACAAGGCTTTTTGAGATGTTATATATATGTTGAGTTGTCTCTGTTAAGTGAATAGTGTTCATGACAGCCATATGCTAATGCTGCATTGTATATATAATTAGGCCAAAAGTTTGGGACCAATTTTCGTCTTAACTTTTAAAAGTTGCTTAGATAACAAAAATATAGAAGAAGTGGGACCATGTTATAACTGAGTAAATTAATTATGACGAAGGAAAGCTGCTATTGATGAAGCATTGGGAATAAAGATGTTCATTATCCTTGATATAAATTGGGACCTTTGTCCCTTTAAAGGAAAACAACCCCATTGAGAAGCATTGGGACTTAGTCTATTCGTTAGATTATTATTGTCATCCATTTTCTCTTTTCTCTCTGAGTTTGCGACACTTAGTGTATCATTGAAAAGGGAACGAGACATTATTATTTGACAAGTCATTTGCTAAAGGCAATAAAAATAAAGAAGACAAGATTTTGGAGGTGTAGTAATTTGCGTCAGGATTAGAAATTAATCAAGATTAGAAAGTTTATAGCATCAGGTTATATAAAATGCTTTAATGTTTTTTGGCTTTGGTTGATTCGAAAATTATAGGAAAACCATATCATTGGATGTCGTTTTCTTAATTATGTGACAAGTTCTCTACTGGCTTAATGTTTGGGTAAACTACGTTTGTCTTTAGATACATATATTTCATTTGTCGAGGCTTCAATGTAATAGATGCTAAAGATGTAAACTATTGTGCATAAATTAATTACCAATATGAGGAACCCGAATTTCTTTTTCATAAGAATTGGAACATATATAGATTCTTTAAGTTTTTTGTAATAATATATGTATATATATTTAAAAAATTACATAAAAATTATTATAAGCCATAATAGTTAACAATTCAAAAGATTTAGAAATTATTTGCAAAATATATGGTCAAAAATTATGTTTAACTCCTCAAGTAGTAATATATTTATTCTTTTTTGAAACGGAAGGAGTAGTATATATTAAATCATCTTAAACTAGACGTCCAATCAGATATTCAGACTTGCTCTTCACTTCCCCTCACGGAAACACCTGCCCCCAAATGAACAAAGAAAAAGAATTTAAACCGATTAGAAAAGAAAGGAATGAAAAGCTATTAAATTAGGAGAAAAGTCATTTTTCATAAAATATTTTAATGGAAAGAGTTCTTGCCATGATTTTAGTGGGAAGTGGGAACCATTGGTTTTAGTTTTTTAATCCCCTACATTACTATATACATTAAGTTCGAAGGATGTGGCAAAACGCCCACTTCTACTAATGTTGTAAGTGGTTCATTCTCTTACTTTCTGCAACCTGGGACCACCTTTGAATGGACCCCGATGATCAGAAAAAACTAGTACTCCACATAATATGTTTTAATTAACAAGTACTAAACCCTGCATTCCTAGGGTTACATGTAGTTAGAAACTTAAGAGGAAATTGAGGCCAGAATATTGGGATTGAGTTGGCATAGGTGTATGGTTTCAAATTTGAACAACCACAATTGATGAGTACTGACGAATAACGAGAT